TTTCTAAGCAGCTGTTCAGCTGATCAAATACACCACATTGGATAAAATATCAGACACATAATTTTTACATCACTTGGATTCTAATCTCACATCAGCTGGAAGAAAATGCCTGCAAGATTCAATGAAACGTGAACACATTAAGAGCTTTTCAACATTAAATCACAGGAAGAGCAAAAAGAAAGAAACGTTAATACAAACCAGTTATGCTGTGGAAGGCAATTTTTAATTGTCATATTAGAACATCAGCTTAACTGAAGTTGGAAACCTCACTATTATCATAAAAGGTAAAATAAAAAAATAAGCAGACATGAGTCCTGCAGTATTACTGGATTCTGATTGATTATGGAGGAAGAATGCTGGATAAACAGGCTCCGAGAATTTAGTTCTGAAGCTGTGAATGTGACTCAGTTTGTCAGATGAGACACAATAAAAGGACAGAGTGCCTGCAACCCAGTCCAGAAACACTCCCAGTCTGGACAGCCAGTAGGAGGAACAGGGTAATATTTGGACTCATTATTATGTTTTGCACAGAAACTTAGAGGGTTTTCACCTGAACCTTGATCTGGATGGTGAGTAAAACACCACAAAATAGCGTTTTTTCCAAGCCTGCATGCATCATTGTTTCCTTTCTTCTCAAGTTGTTTGTAGCAAACATCTACATCCACGCAAGCTTGAAGAAAAGCTTTGCATTCCACCTCCCAGTAACAGCGGCCAGTCAGTTCCTCTCTGCACAGAATCTGAGGAACCTCACTGAATCTCTCAGGAAGGTCAGGATATGGCTGTTTCTCTCCTCTTGTCACCTCCTTGTCTCCTTCAGACAGAAGGAGTTCACAGTGTGCTGTGTTTGGATTCAGACTGAGACCACAGGCATCTGATGGAGAAAAAGAGATTCACATTCATGATAATGTGACAGATTTTCACTTTCACGAAAGTGCTTGCTCATAAAGCGTTTGTCTGATTGTTGGGATTTTCTCTGTATTATTTGTATAATCTTTATGTGATATTCTAAGGTCATTACCTTACAATATAAAGAGCCTTAAAGCAACTGTTGTTTTGATTTGGCACAGTGTAAATGAAATAAAATTTAACTTCTTTTAGAAAGTTTTGAGTTACGCCAGTGGACAAGTAGTACGCTCACCTACCAGAAGAAGAGTGGTAGCAGTTAGCAGTGGCTAGCATAAAATCAGCTAAAGCAACAAGAAATTGCCCTTGTGTCACTGTGAGAAAGCTGAGCTAGGTTAAGTGCTAAGTACTCCCCCGCCATATGCCTGATATAGAGAGTACTCGTAAAACAGTACAGCCTTCCTGACTTCATAACTCCCTACAACACCAGACACAGCTATCGAGCTGGTGGTTAGAAAGAATAAAGTTACGTTGAAACCAAGCACACCATTGTTTTTCTTGTGACATTACCAATAAGTTTGATGTGTCACATGGCCCTCTTCCTATTGAAAAAGCAAAAGTTGTATCCAAGATGGCCGACTTCTAAAAAGGACTTCACCCATCTTGAGGAGTTTGCCCCCTCACATATACTAATGTGCCACAAACAGGACTGCTCTTCTACCAAGCCAACCCGTCTCATCTTATTCCGCAACATCAGAAACATTAATATGGACATTCTCACTACCAGTTTGGACAATGTTCAGATCAAGGACTTCTATTCTACTCCTGATGATTTGTTGTTATATTATAATAATTGTCTACACACTGTCCTTGATTCTCTGGCTCCTGTAAAAATCCACTCTGTTTCCTTCACTCCCTGGTTTACCTCTGACCTCCGAGCTCTGAAGGCCAAAGCTCGGCAGCTAGAGTGTAAATATAAGAAATGTGGTTTAACTTATTCAGAAATCTATAAATACCACCAAGACTCCATCAGTAAGGTCAAACAAAGCTTCTACTCTGGTGTTATCAGTTCTTATGAGGGTAATGCAAGGACTTTGTTTTCAGTTCTCAACAAACTAATTCAACCCCCCAACGCTTTACCACCGCACTTCTATTCCTCTGAAACCTGCAACTCCTTGATGCTGTTCTGGACTACGAAAATCAATAACATCCACCAGCAACTCAGATCAAATGTTGTGTCTACGCCCTCTCCAGAACCTTTTCTCCTTTTTGAGCCGTTTTCCACTTTTCATCTTCCTGATTTATCTGATATTTCCGAGTTCATATGTAAATCAAAGCCACATGTCATCTTGACCCCATGCCCACGGGGCTCGTGAAATCCTGCCTCTCTTCTTTACTCCCACTCATTTCTGCTATCATTCACTCTTCTCTCACCACCGGTATCGTTCCCTCCTTATTGAAGACTGCTCTAGTCACTCCTATACTGAAAAAACCTTTAGATCCTAACAACTTTAACAACCTCCGTCCGATTTCCAATCTACCCTTCATTTCTAAGATACTCGAAAAAGTGGTTGCAGCTCAACTTCATTTACACCTGTTTAATAATAACATCTACGAGAGATTTCAATCTGGTTTTCGCTCATGTCACAGTACAGAAACTGCTTTACTTAAAGTCACTAACGATCTTCTAATCGGAGCTGACTCTGGTCTTCTCACCATTCTCGTCCTTTTAGATCTCAGCTCAGCCTTTGACACCATTTCTCACTCTGTACTTCTAAGCAGACTTTCTTCTCTCAGGATCTCTCTCACACCCGTCGCCTGGTTTCAATCATATCTCCTCGACCGTTCCCAGTTTATTCAACTAAGATCATTCCGCTCTCATCTATTCCCTGTCACCTCTGGTGTACCCCAAGGCTCAGCTTTGGCCCTCTTCTCTTTATAATATACATCCTCCCTCTAGGTACCATTTTCCGCAAATTTGATCTTCAGTTTCACTGTTTTACTGATGACACCCAGTTATAGCTCTCCTGCAGACCTGATTCCTCCCTCCCACCTTCCTCCCTTTCAGAATGTCTATCCGAGTTAAAATCCTGGGTTAGCTCTAATTTTCTAAAGCTCAATGAGGATAAAATTGAGATCCTCCTTATTGGCACCAAATCCAACCTTTTGAAGGCGAACCATTTCTCACTCACCATCGATGATTCCTCAGTTTTCCCCTCTCCTCAGGTTAAGAGCCTTGGTGTCATCCTAGACAGTTCACTTTCCTATAAATCTCACATCAATAATCTCCCCCGTTCCGCCTGCTTCCATCTACGCAGCATTAAGAGATTACGTCCTTCACTTTCCACCCAGTCTACGTCCATTCTTGTCCATAGTCTCGTTACCTCCCATATGACTACTGCAATTCTCTTTTGCATGGTCTCCCCAAAAATCCCTCCATAAGCTGCAACTGGTTCAGAACTCTGCTGCTCGCATTATCACCAGATCCCCTCCTACCAGCACATCACCTGTCCTTCAGGAACTTCACTGGCTCCTTGTGATAATATTCAAACTTCTTCTGCTCACCTTCAAGGCCCTTCATAACCTCGCTCCTCCTTACCTTTGTGACTTGTTAAGCACTATCTCTTCTACCCGCTCACTTAGATCTTCTCCTTCTATCCAGCTTGCTGTACCTTCCTTCTGCCTCAGCACCATTGGAAGCAGAGCTTTCAGCTGCTCTGCTCCCAGGCTGTGCAGCTCTCTACCCCCAGATATAAGAAACACTGGTTCTCTCCCCCAGTTTAAATCCGAACTCAAGTCCATCTGTTCAAATCTGCATATTCACTGTGAACCCACTGTTTGTTCATTTTATCTTGTGCTTTTTGTTTTATTGTTCTTATTCTGCCATTGTTTTACTATGTGTTTTATCCTATTGTAACGTGTCCTTGGGTGACTTGAAAGGCGCTCATAAATAAAATTTATTAATATTATTATTATTTATTAAGGTACCAATGGAAACTGCTACTGGTGGCCAAAGACAAAAGAAGAAGAGACGTGGAAGGTGTGTTAGGAGGCAACAAGAGAAAAGGAAAGGCAGGAGTTTGGAGGGGAAAGTAGATACTTTAAATGCAGGGCCGATGACTAGTAAAGGGATGTAAATGTAAAGAAATGAAGTACGAGTCATTTTGAAGGAAGAGTATGTACAGTGTGGCTGAAGGGAGTGCCAGCCAGGATCATGAGTTTGAAGCTGGAGATCGAAGTAGGGATGTTGAATGTTGTCACTGTGCATGTCCCACAGGGTGGATGTCAGTTTGAAAAGTGAGAGGAATTATGGTTTAACTTGGATGAAGTGGTAGAGAGTGTCCTCAAGGGGGAGAGAGTGGTGACTGAAAAAAAATTCAATTTGCTGTGAGTGGGAGGGGTGGAGCCCCGCCCCTCCCTGAGCCTGGATCTGTCGGAGATTTCTTCCTGTTAAAAGGGAGTTTTTCCTTCCCACTGTCGCCAAAGTGCTGCTCATAGGGGGTCATATGATTGTTGGGTTTATTCTCTTTATGTGTTATTTTAGGGTCTAGCTTACAATATAAAACATCTTGAGGCGACTGTTGTTGTGATTTGGCGCAGTATAAATAAAATTGAATTGAATTAGATACTTAAACTCCTCCACTTGGAACTGGAAGTTGTCCCTGACCTGGAGTTGCTTCATGTCTCATTCAGTTGGAGCTATTTTAAAACTTTACCAACTTTATCACTTAGGAATACTTTTCCTTACTTTTGCTCTTTATAACTCTGTCAGATTAATTGTTGTTGACGTACATTATTTTTCTGCATCAAGTAGATTGGTTTTTACGGTTTGATTTTGGAACCCCTGAAAACTCTTTCGACATGCATGAAAAGGTTTTTACTCAAAGACAAATTTCACAGAAATGAGAGAAGTTTAAGAAGAATATTTTAAGAAGTTAAGATTTTAATTATTTTAAAAAGGCATATATTTAAGGACAGTTTATGGACAATATCAATAGCAGAAACCAGTCTGACTTGAAATATTTTTCTGTACATAATTACTGTTTTAGCAGCCACCTGAGAAAAATGTGACCCTATATATTAAAATAATCAGCAATTTCATGTTGAAAATTTAACACTATGAACCTGGAAGAATATTATTTTGTAAGTACTTACACCACATCAGATCTCTCCTATCCATTTCATTTTCCACATCATTGATATACACCCTGAGAAATTCTCAGTGATCAGGAAGTTCTTCCTGTAGTGGTAGATACTTCCTCCCTTGTAATTATCATTTGAAATGGCTGCTACTAGGGAATGGAAACTGTTGTTGGTCTTCAGAGCTTTGGCAAGGTCATGGACAACTTCGGCCTTTGCTGTCATCTGCTTTATCACTTCATCTGAGAAGTACCATTGGTCCTGGGTAGGTGGAGTGTTACCATCAGTACCTTCCAGTTTCTTTTTCTCCAAGTAGTCAGACATGTTCTGCAGATATGGGTCAGTGGATTTCAGGGAGGTGAAAACAAAGCAGAGAACTTCCTCTACTCCTGGTTTAAACACCTCTCTGTCCAGCTCAGACTGATCTGAGATGATCTTTGTTCCCTCCATCATGTCTACAAAGTACCTGATGATGGTGACTTCTCTCTCTTCATCTTTGATCCACTTGGTTAATCTCTCCTGACTGAACGGTGACTTGTCTCTGTCATAAAACACTTTCACTAATTCCTGCTCATCTTCCTCACCTGCCCTGATGGAGGGAAGTTTCTCAGCCATTGTTTCCTGGAGTGAAGATCTGAAATACTCACAGAGCTTCTTGAATCTGCCCAACTTTTCTTGTATCTGTGGAAAGCTTCTCACCACTCTGTCCTCCAGCAGATCATTGCATCTTATGTCAAGGTTATGAAGCTCCTGTAAGGTATCTTCAGCCTTACTAATAAATCCACTGCTTATCATGTAAGCAGCTTTTGGATGGAATTTCTTCAGAGGCATCAGTGTGACCTTCAGTGGAACACAGTTTTCTCTGTTTTCTCCCAGTAGTTTTGGAAGTTGGATGTATGTCTTCACTGCATCTTCAAATGTTCCAGGGTTGCTTTCAAGGATGAAGTCTCCATAGAACTTGCAGGTGAATTTATCAGTCACAGCTTTTTCTTCATCACTCAGCTTGATGTCAACTTTCCCCTCAACATTAAATGAGGGGATCTTCTTTATCACTGCTTGCATGCTGCCCTCGATGGCTTGAATGCTGCTATCATCTAACTTCTCACTGTCAAACACAAAGAAAGCATTTGCTCCATAAAGGATTCCTGTGACTACATGTGTCGCCAAATTCTTCACATGTTCTGCTTGTTGGGTGTTCTTGGTTTCATCAGGAGTCAACATCAGCTGTTTGAATTTGGTGGTAGCTTTGTACTGAAGTGTGACTCGACACTGATGATGTGATTTCTTCCTATCATTCAGATACTTGGCTGATCCTTCAACTTCAATGAGCCCACCCAGGAAACTGGCCTTCAGAGAACCATTAACATCCAGCAGTGCCGACTTTTTTTCAATGGAATCCGTTGCATTGATGTGAAATTCACTGCTGTGCTGAATATGCTCCACTGGCTTCTTCTGCAGAGTTTTATTATTCCACAGTGTGACACCTTTAAGACACAAAATCCACAAAATGGGGGAAAAAAGTCTTTAGAAAGTTTAGAAACTAAATAGATTAAAATTGTATTTGAAATGTACTAAAAAATGTAAAACTTAATTTCAAAACAGTTTAGGTGAAACTGTAACACTCATAAAGCTCTAGAGAGTTAGAAATCTCATGGTTTTTACTCTGCAAAAAACATGCTTCAAAGTTTTTATTCTATTAATGTTTTTTTTTGAGACAGAATCTATTCTGTTCTTTCAGAGATTTCCAAATGAATTAATCTTAAGGTTGTCTGTTCTTTAAAGGGTTTTTTTTGCTCCTTTTGTTACTCACCCTTTTCATTTAAACTATTATTTTCTTCATACAGTATTTTCATTAAATGGTCATTAATATTTCATTGCTGATTGCAAATATTTCTTTGATGCATCTACTTACCCTATAAGTAGATAGGTCATTTAAGAAACAAATTAGTGTGGGTTTTTGCTGGCCATACGGCTGATTGCTTGAACAACAAATCACATTTTACCTGGGATGAGTTTCCCTCTCCGTGCATCATAGAGCATCCCTAAACTGAAAGGTTGACCCAGAGCAGCCACCTCCAAAACAGATGATGCTCCTACATGAAAAAAAAACATGTGGTCATAAATACAGTGTGACCACTCAGCTTCTTTCATGTTTTCAGCTTCCAGGAATTGCCTACAGATCCTTGCAATATGGGGCCGTGCGTTATCATGCTGCAACATGAGGTGATGGTCGTGCATGAATGACTTAACAATGGGCCTCAGGATCTTGTCACGGTACGGTAAAATGCCATCAAGAAAATACACCTGTGTTCGTTGTCCATAGCATACGCCTGCTCATGCCAGAATCCCACCGCCACCATGGGCCACTCGATCCACAACGCTAACATCAGCAAACCACTCACACGACACCACACATGCTGTCTGCTATCTGCCCTAAACAGTGAAAACTCATCTGTGAACAGAATGCCTCTCCAACGTGCCAAATCGATGTGAGTGTTTGCCCGCTCAAGTCGGTTACGATGACGACCCTGATGAGGACGACGAGCATGCAGATGAGCTTCCCTGAGACGGTTTCTGACAGTTTGTGCAGAAATTCTTTGGTTATGCAAACCGATTGTTGCTGCAGCTGTCCGGGTGGCTGATACATATCTCCATTCTGAATTTTCACAACAGGCTCATTACTTTTGGTTTAATGCATTTGAGGGAAATTGTTAGTCACTCAACATATTCATATTCATATTCAAATTCTAGACATCAAATCAATTTAAACCTAGGAAAAATAACCAGGAAAAATAACACATAAAACAAAATCCTGATTGTCTATCCATTTCCAGGGTTTATAACACACAATGAGATTTACGAAGCAAAAAAACAAAGCAAAAACAAAAACAAAAAAACAATTTATACAGCATTTATAGTGCAATAATCAGGGATTAAATGGGCAAAAACTGTAATTTTTGAGCAGATGCCCATAACTTGTACAATATTTCAGCATAAAGCTAGTGCTACAGAAGAGAAGCAAGCATAAAGGAAGTAACTTATTTCAAAGTTACAGATAATTTTAAATTCAACAAACATTTCAAAACATTTCTCAACAAATATCAGCAAACAATCTGTTCAAAACAAAACAATTTGTGTTCAGATTGCTGCACTGTGTGTCTGCTAGCTAAACGAACAGCTAGTGTGTTTCACAGGGAGAAAAAAGAATGAGAGAGAACTTCGCAGATGGAGAAAGATAAGAAAGACAGAACAGAGAAATGTTATATTTTAAAGTTAAGGACTGCGCCTCTGGATGTCTGGAGTTTTGATCTCCTCCATACCTGCTTCACACCCTGGAGGACGGGGCTGTGGCCCCCCCACACTCCCTAGCAGATCGTTACATGGAGAAACCTTTGGAATACAAGCGCGCTGATCCACACAGGTATGCACACGGGTGTTCACTGCTCGTAGACCCAAATTACACCTTTCTTGGCTGCTACTTCGAAGCACATCTGTCCTGCGTGCTGCACAACAACATTGAATATTTAGTATTTACTGCTGTTTACACTTAGCTAGATTAATGCGATGGTGTTGTGTTTAGTATGTTGCTTTGTTTTTTTTTTGTTTTTTTTTGCTTGTTTTCTATTCTTCTCTCAACAGGTGATCCAGGAGATTTTTTTTCTCCCCCCCTTTCTCACTGTCCCTCTCCCCTTCTGTTTTTCTTTTCCTTCCTCTTTCTTTCTCCCTTTCCTATCCCTCACTCATGTCTGTCCCGTCTGTAACATCTGAAAATAAAATAAAATAAATAATAAAAACAAAGGTCGATCAAATGGACCAATACGGCAATGCCAGATGATCCATTTGGCAAAGTAAATCCATTGGGTATCCTTGTTGGTCTTCAGACAACAATTCTGATGGCTAAAGAACCAAATGGGACAGGCAAAAAAAAAAAAAAAAAAAAAAAGAAACTTCCCAAAACTCACCTCTTGAACCAAACCTTCAACCTCTAGCCTTTATTTTTGTGTTTTTTTATTTGTACTCATGTGTAAAGCATTCTTGGGTTTCTTGAAAGATGCCATATACAGTGCTCAGCATAAATGAGTACACCCCACTACATTTGTCAGAAAACCTTTGGTTTCCTTTCAGAATCAACATTTTCTATGAGATGCTATACTACAAAATACTCTCACAAATGTGGGCAATTGATTGCAAACTAGATTTGTTAATTTGCACACACAAAAAATGATTTTCCTAACAAACTCATTCAAGCCCATGCAGCAAAAATGGGGACACCCTACTTATAGTCTTAGGAGAAAAGCCATACTTAAGACTACAAAATTTGAATTAACAGGCATTCAACCACAGGTGAGTCCAATGATTCATTTAAGACGTGTCCAGCAAAATGTAAGAAAGATGGAAGCGCAACCATCTACAGAGACTCCATGCCATCCACGGAAGTTAACATCTCAACAGGAGCGTCTCCTGATGAGAAGGGTTGAAGAAAATCACCATGGAAGTTCACTGCAGTTAGCTAAAGCAGTAGAAAGCCAAACTGGAGTGACTGTTTCCCGTGACACCATACGGCACACACTGCAGAGGAATGGCATGCATGGGTATCGTCCATGAAGGAAGCCTCTCCTAAAGCCCATGCACAAAAAAGCACGCCTAGAATTTGCTAGGGCCCATGCTGAAAAAGATGAAGACTACTGGGACTCTATACTCTGGAGTGATGAGACAAAGATCACTGTTTTTGGAACTAATGGTTTCAAAACTGTATGGCGTCTAAAGGTGAGGATTTCAAAGAAATGCATGGTGCCTACAGTGAAACATGGTGGTGGCAGTGTCCTTATGTGGGGCTGCATGAGTGCTGCTGGTGCTGGGGAGCTGCATTTCATTGATCAAATCACTTTTTATTGTCACATCACATGTGCAGGCACACTGGCACAGCACATGCGAGTGAAATTCTTGTGTGCGAGCCCCACAAGCAACAGAGATGTGCAAACACAACAACACAAACGAGCAAAATACAAGAATGGCCAACCTGAAACTAATAAATATATGTACAATATATAATAGTGTATGCATTTCTGGATGTGTATACTAAATATTTTCCTACGTGTGTGTGTGTGTGTGTGTGTGTGTATACACATTTTTACAAATTAAATAGTAAAAAAAAAATAAAAATAAAATAATAATAAAATAATAATAAAATAATAATAATAAAATATATAAAATATACAGAGTTGAATATGTGCAAAACAAGTGGCATTTATATACAGTGTGGAGTGCATAATGTTGAAGTTCCAGTAGTGAAGCTGAGGTGTCTATGACGTGTTCAGCAGTCTGATGGCCTGGTGGAAGAAGCTGTCTCTCAGTCTGCTGGTACGGGACCGGATGCTGCAGAACCTCCTTCCTGATGGAAGAGTCTGAACAGTTTATGGCTGGGGTGACTGGAGTCCTTGATGATCCTCCCCGCTTTCCTCAGGCACCGCTTCCTGTAGATGTCTTGGAGGGAGGGAAGCTCACCTCCAATTATCCGTTCAGAGCACCGCACTACTCGCTGGAGAGCTTTGCAGTTGTAGGCGGTGCTGTTGCCATACCAGGTGGTGATGCATCCAGTGAGGATGCTCTCAATGGCACAGTGATAGAAGGTCCTGAGGATGCGGGGGCTCATGCCGAATCTTTTCAGTCTCCTGAGAAAGAAGAGGCGCTGCTGCGCCTTCTTCACTGTTTTGTTTGTGTGTACTGACCACGTAAGATCCTCAGCCAGATGTACCCAAGGAACCGGAAGCTGCTCACTCTCTCCACAGCAGCGCCGTTGATGGTGATGGGGGTGTGTACTTCTCTGCACCTCCGGAAGTCCACTATCAACTCCTTTGTCTTTGCGACGTTGAGGGTGAGATGGTTGTCTTGACACCAGTGGGTCAGGGCGCTGACCTCCTCCCTGTAAGCCGTCTCATCACCGTTGGTGATAAGACCCACCACTGTAGTGTCGTCCGCAAACTTCACAATGATGTTGGAGTTGTTAGTGGCTGTGCAGTCGTAGGTGTAGAGTGAGTACAGGAGAGGGCTCAGTACACACCCCTGTGGAGCACCAGTGTTCAGTGTGATGGGGGATGAGGTGATGCTGCCCAGTCTGACCACTTGGCGTCTGTCAGACAGGAAGCTAAGGATCCAGCTGCAGAGGGAGCTGCTCAGTCCTAGATCCTGCAGTTTCCTGTCCAGCTTCGAGGGAACGATGGTATTGAATGCTGAGCTGTAATCTACAAACAGCATTCTCACATACGTGTCTCTCTTCTCCAGGTGTGACAGGGCAGTGTGTAGTGTCAGGGCTATGGCATCATCAGTGGACCTGTTGTGGCGGTATGCGAACTGTAGAGGGTCCAGTGAGTCGGGTAGTGCAGAGCAGATGAAGTCCCTGACCAGCTTCTCGAAGCATTTGCTTACGATGGGGGTCAGGGCTACAGGTCGCCAGTCGTTCAATGAGGAGATGGTGGAGGATTTGGGTACAGGGACGATGGTGGCCATTTTGAAGCAGGCTGGGACTACAGACAGAGAGAGGGAAAGGTTGAAGATGTGCGTGAACACTCCAGCCAGCTGAGCCGCGCATGACTTGAGGACGCGGCCGGGAATCCCGTCCGGACCAGTAGCTTTGCGTGCGTTCACCTTCCTGAAGCACTTCCGCACATCCTCCTCAGACACAGTGTGCGCACTGACGTCATCCGCGGTGCGCACACTGTCCGGTCTCATGGTGTTCGCTGTGTCGAATCTAGCGTAGAATACGTTTAGATCCTCACACAGAGAGGCCGTGGTCTGCGGTGTGCTGGTTTTCCCTCTAAAGTCTGTGATCGTGTTTAGTCCCTGCCACATACTCCGAGGGTTGTCAAACTGTTGCTCCACCCTGTCCCTGTACTCACGTTTGGCTGCTTTGATCGTCTTCCGGAGTTGGTAATGTGCGTGTTTGTAGTCCGATGTGTTCGCGGAGGCAAAGGCGGTGCTCCGTGCCGCGCGAACATCTCCGTTAATCCAGGGTTTTTGATTTGGGAAGGATTTAACTGTTCTGGATGGGACGACATCTTCCACGCATTTCCTGATAAATCCACAGACTGAGTCTGTGTATTCATCAATGTCTCTGGCGGCCACGTGAAACATTTCCCAGTCCGCGTGATCAAAACAGTCCCGCAGCGCAGACTCCGATTGGTCCGTCCAACAGTGCACCGCCCTCCGGGTTGGAGCTTCCTGTTTCAGCTTCTGCCTGTAGGCGGGCAGGAGCAGGATGGAGCAGTGATCTGATTGGCCGAATGGGGCGCGGGGGAGGGCTTTGTACGCATCCCGGAAAGAGGTGTAACAGTGGTCGAGTAGCCGGTTTCCACGTGTGTTAAAAAGGATGTGTTGATGGAGTTTTGGTGAGACTTTCTTCAGGTTTCCCTTATTAAAGTCTCCGGCTGTGATAAACGCTGCCTCTGGGTGTGCGGTTTCCTCGCTGCTGATCGCGCTGTACAGTTCCCTGAGTGCTCGGTCAGTGTCGGCTTGTGGGGGAATGTAAACAGCCGTAATAATCACTGCTGTAAATTCCCTCGGTAGCCAGAATGGCCGGCACTTAATCATCAGGTACTCCAGGTCCGGTGAGCAGAAGGATTTGACCGGGTGCACGTTCGCATAATCACACCAGCTGTTGTTGATCATGAAACACACACCACCGCCTCTGCTTTTCCCAGTAAGATCCTGTGACCTGTCCGCGCGGTGCACAGAGAACCCCGGTAGTTGTATTGCGGAGTCCGGTACCTTGTCCGATAGCCAGGTTTCTGTGAGGCAGATCACGCAGCAGTCCCGCATCTCTCGCTGGAATGAGATCCGTGCCCGAAGCTCGCACAGCTTGTTCTCCAGAGACTGCACATTAGCCAGTAATAAACTGGGTAACGGTGGTCTGTAAGTGCGCCGTCTCAGTCGAACCAGAACGCCAGATCTTCTCCCTCTGCGTCGGCGTTTGCGGCCTCCAGGGCCAGAGAACAAAGGCGTCTCAGGTGAGATGAATGGGGGGTCTGCAAACGGAGCGTCCGTGTTGCAAAACTTGAACTCCAGAAAGAAGGGACGTAGATCAAATCAACAGTGTCACTTTTATGCTCAGGTGTCTCTTTATCTTGACAGAGCGGTACAACAGATGCATAACTGCAGTTGCAGCCTTAGTGCATTAGTAAATCTTCCACTCCCTTCTCCCCTAACTCGTGAACAAAACCTTGAGATACTTAAACTCCTCCACCTGGGGCGGCAAATTCTCCCAGATCTGAAGTGGGCACTCCACCCTTTTCTGGCTTAGGGCCATGGCCTCAGACTTTTAGTTGTTAATTCTCATTTCCATTGCTTCACACTCAGCTGCAAACCAGTTCAGTGCAAGCTGGAGGCCAACCTTTGATGAAGCCAACCACATTATCAGCAAAAAGCAGAGATGGGATTCTGAGGCCTGGTGAAGAGGTGGTCCAGCATTCCTCCTTTGGCCACCACCACCAAAATAAGAATATTCTGTCCATTAAAACCTATGAACTGAGTCAGTGACAAATGACAGACCTGGTGGAGTCCAATACCCAGAGGAAACAAGTGTGACAATCAAGGATGTGTTTAACATCCTCAGTGATGATTCATCCCCAGACTCTTCCTCTACAAAAGCATGTGCGTGGGATTGAAGAGGTCCTGGAAGTATTCCTTCCACCACCCTGACTATAACCTCAGTTGAAGTCACGAGCACCCCACCTCCACTGTGAGTAGAGCCCTGCTTTGCTCTCCTGAGTCACCTGACAGTTTGCTAATTGATTTTAGGCAGATTGAAATTCTTTTTCCATAGCTTCACCAAACTCCTTTTGGTTTTGCTTCCACCACTGACAGAGCTACATTCCACTTGGCGTGCCATTAGCTGTTAGCTAACTCTGAAGTCCCACAGGCTAACCAACCTTGGACTTTTTCAACTTAACAGCTTCCTTCACCTGCAGTGTCCACAATCTGCTTCAGTGATTACAACCAAAACAATCTTGTTGCGACAGCTGATCCATTCAGTCACCTCAGCAAATGGAGGTCCAGAGTTGACAGAAGACTTTAGAAATGAAGTAAAACAATGAGACCAGAAGGAGTCTGGACTGACTACAAATTTAGCAACATACCACTGAGTAGAGCTCCTGAGTAAGATGTGTGTTCTGTTCTGCAGCCTTCATTTGAGGCTTTGTTATGGAGATCTGTCTCCATGCGCTAATGAACTACTTTAAACCACATTTTTGTATTGTATCAGTAATTATTGATTTCTGCTTATAAATACAGCTCAGAGTCATCGGATTTTCATCACATCAATTCAACAGAATTGCAATGATGAAGGTAAGTGAAATCTTTAAATTTCTAACTGAATATATATCAGTCCTATAGAGGTTTTGCAGACACGTGACCGCTTACAACTTGTCGGCCATTTTGGACATGTAATAATCCCAAAACTTAATGTAACATTATGTAGATGAGATAAACTATGAGTAAACAAATTAGTGTGTAGACACTCTCTGAGGAAGCAAAGCTGTCATGGTCCCGGGACTTCTAACCAGTGTTTTGTGTTCTCTTGTATTTTTGTCATTTGGTGTTACGTTTTAGGTCCACTGTTTATTCTAAAGGTTCCTAGGTTATTCTGTTTAGATGTCGTTTATTAGATTTCCCCTCGTGTCTTTTCCCCGTGTCTCCCTCTGTGTATCTGAGTTCTTATGCCTTGTTTCCCCCTGCTTGTATTTTATTCCGTGCCTTTCCAGCCCATTATATCCGTGTTCTCCCCATGTTCTCTCCCCCTCCAGTCCGCGTCTAGGTGTACTTCCTGTTTTACTTTGATAGTCTCCTGTCGGTGTACGTCATGCTGTATTTGCTCCTGCACCGTCTCACAACTATCAGTGTTCCCCGTGTGCTCCCACCCCCTCATTATCCTTCAGTGTATTTATGTCTGCGACCACGTCTCACTCAGTTCTGTGTTGCGTCCTCCCTCATAGTTGTGTGCTGTGTTTCCTTGTGCGTTAGCTTTAATATTTCCCAGTTTAGTTTTTGTTTTGCCGTTCTGTAAATGAAGCGTCATTTTGAGCTTAAGTTTTGTTTCCCGTGAGTTTGCATTTGGGTCCTCGCCTGGCTGCAGACAGCCGTTTCATGACAAAAACACTTTCCTGACTAGCATCTCGCTCGTAATTTGAGGCGACTGTTGTTGTGGTTTGGCGCTGTATAAATAAAACTGAATTGAATAAAATTGAATTTTTTAGCCCCAGCTCTTGTCAGCGGTCCAGCATGTCTGATCTGCTGACAGTAAATAACTGTGACTCATGTAAACTTTCTTATGTTAGAACCCTAACGTCAGTTCAGGAGTGATCACTACCGCTGATCGTGTTCAATATGGCGGACAGCAGTTGAGCGACATGTGCATGATGTCACATGCAGAACCTCTATAGTTTGTGTCTGTGTGGCACCATCACAGTCTGACAGTCACAAACGTTGCAGCTCTACATGAAGCTTTGACTGAAGTAAAATAAGAACACCTCCTCTGTTCCAGCTGCTGTCAGCCTTCATCCTTCTCCTGCTTCCTCTGCTGACCGGCTGTGAACCTTTCATCCTTCCACTGGACTGCAGCGATGTCTATACCCAAGACACCAGTCGAACCAGTGGCGTGTACACCATTTATCCCATTGGAGCCACGTCTGCTGTCCTGGTAGACTGGAGTTATTTACTCTAATGATAAGCTGATTTTTTAATGTTGTCATTTTCAGACCATCATGATTCATCCAAAGATGCAGAAGATGCATTTCCTTTGTGTTTTCGTTGATTCATTTGGTTCTTCCGGCCAAAAATGCACCAGAATCATTACATTTCATTCTCCAGACCAGTGGTTCCCAAACTTTTTTGTTAGGCACCTCTTTGTTTTTCCCCCCCACCAGCACAAACACATCCTCCAACCATGCACACCCACCATATTTAGTTTTCAAACTTCATTGCAGATTATTTCACACCTCAAACAATGTAAACAATAAACAAATAAAAGTAAACTGCAATAAATTACAGGTAGCAATAAAATAAACTCTACCTCTTTTAAATAACAGAACAACGCATCTTTACGGTGTAATTGTTTTAGGTGTAGTTTTTTTGTTTTTTGTTTTTTTACTGTGTGAGAATATTCAACATAGCTATCAACACATTTTTCAAAAAATTAGTTTAAAAACATAACAACTGTGGGATGCTGTTTGTTTGTTGTTGATTTTGATTTGGACAGCCCACTGCGTGCTCCCAATGCAGGGAAACCAAATTCTGTCGGGGATACCTACCTTGGCACCACCATTGTGCAGGTGAAGCCAAAGGCAAGATATGCTTAACCATGTGTTCTAGTCTTTGGCTGGAAGGAAGTTGGTTTGGAAGCATATTTGGAGATGGTTTATCTTCTGCTTGGCTTTTGTGTGGGAGCCCCTCTGCTCTAGACAAGACCTCCTCCAGCCAACCTGCAGGATGTTCACTCACCACCAGGGGGCACTTTGATATAGTGTATCACATGTTAATATGTATTATCGTATGTGTATTATTATTGTATTTATCTTTCTCTATTTTCTAATGATTGTGTGTGTGTGTGTGTGTGTGTGTGTGTGTGTGTGTGTGTGTGTGTCTGCAGGTATACTGTGACATCGACTCACAAGGACAGTGGACGGTGAGTATCTGAACTCCCAGCTTCATGTCTGGTTGTCTGAAGTGCTTAGACTGCTTAGTGATGGTATGAGAGCCCAATAAGAATCGATAAGAGAATCAAAATGAAGGAATTCTTATGAATTCCCATCCCTACCTACTAGGAATGGATCAATCCTGAGCTAAATGATTGGATCGGATATCAGGGAGAAATAAAAAAAAAGTAACCCGATCCATTAAGTATCAGGAAAGCACCTCACCAAACTTGCGGCATGTTGTAACCCAGCTCATGATCTTAACACGTCAGAGCAGTATGCGTCACGTAATAGAGCAGCTGTTGTGTGCAAGACCTCTCAGCGGTCTGGAGTTCACACTGAAATCCTCACTACGTGCTGCCAAACTGGCATTTCATCTACGAGCAAGTGATCCCAGAGAAGTAAAGCAGGTGTGCAAGTTCATCTCGAATGTTTGTAAAGCAATCCCATGTTTTTTTTTTGTTTTTTTTTTTTGTGTCCCGTTTGGATCTTTAGCCATCAGAATTGTTTTCTTAAGGCCAAGAAAGATGCCAAGCGGATTTATTTTACCAAGTGGATCATCATGGCCTTGCCATATTGGTCCATTTGATTGACCTTTATTAAATTATGATATATGGAGCTCGGACTTCTGTGCGTTGTCATTGCTAAGTCTGACCGTACAATGGATAGGCTCAAGTTTTACTTGAAAAAAACTGCAGGCAAAACAGTTTCATGGTTCGAAAAAAAAAAAAATAAGAAAACACTTTTTTCCATACTTGTGTTAAGTTTTGTATAGAAATTACACAAAATTCAGTCTCAAGTTAAATGTGAT